CCCAGGAGAGGCTGCTGGAGACACTCTATGGCACCAGGAAGGTAACAGTATGTCCTGGGACAAGCCCCCTCTGCTCCTGGCCTGGAAGCAGCCAGGACCTCCTCTGCCCTTGGGATGCCCTTGGGATGTCCTTGGGATGCTAAGCCCTGGATGCTGCAGAGGGAAGCCAGGGATCATCTTTTGGGATGGGGTTTAACTGCTGAACATCTCCCCTCTGGTGAGGAGGCTGAGCCAGGCTGGGTGAAGGGAGAGGAGCAGGGGAGTGAGCTGGGCATCTCACAGACCCTCATCTCGCTCCCACAGTCCTGCACACCCCGCTGGCAAACCTGCATCTCCAACACGGATGACACACTGGGCTTTGCTCTGGGCTCCCTTTTCGTCAAAGCCACCTTTGACCGGGACAGCAAGGCCATCGTGAGGACACTTCTGCCCCCACCCCCTCCCCATCACCATCCTTGGGAATCCCGTTTCCCCTCCAGTCCTAGGGCTGGAAGGTGGGGAGCTGGGAATTGGGACCCCCAGCCCTGGGGAGGTTGTGTCCTGTCTACTCTCTCCCCACAAAGGGGCTGGTGGGGGTAGGGGGCCTTCATTCCCTCCCCTCCCCAGGCTGAGGAGATGATTAGCGAGATCCGGGCAGCCTTCGAGGTGTCTCTGGAGCAGCTGGACTGGATGGATGAGAAGACCAGGCAGGCTGCAAAGGAGAAGGTGACTCCAGGGAGGGAAGTGGGTGTGAGACCTCATCTCTTCCCAGTAAGCCCCCCCATCTCACTGTCGGGGCCTCTCCCCATGCAGGCAGATGCCATCTATGACATGATTGGCTTCCCTGACTTCATTCTGGACAACAAGGAGCTGGATGATGTTTACGATGGGGTAGGGGGCTGGTCCCTGCTCACACCACGCCCTTGGGGGCCCCATGGTGGGGCAATGTCACTGTCCCATGGCCAGGGCCGCAAGGTCAGGCATTTGGGACATTGTGCAGAGCCACCCTGGTACTGAATGCATCCTGGCCGGGGTGTGGGGAACCATCTCAGTGGGCCCCTCCTGATCCCTCCTCTTCCTTACCAGTACGAGGTCTCTGAAGACTCCTTCTTCCAGAACATGCTCAACTTCTACAATTTCTCTGCCAAAGTGATGGCTGACCAGCTCCGGAAACCCCCCAACCGTGACCAGTAAGGGGGAAGGCCTGGAGGGGGACAGAGGATGTGACATCGGGGTACCTGGGTGGCACTGGCTCAGTGGGAAGGAGGTCCCCCCATGGGGTAGCACAGCACTGTAGGTCACCTGTGGTCGCTGTAGCTTGTCCCCAGGACATGGTCCCTTGATCACAGGATGGGGGCAAAAGTGCCAGCCCCGGGCAGGGTGGCACAGGGAAGCCATGGTGCATGATGGTACAGGAGGGTGGTGGGCTGGGTGAGAGGTGACACAGCCTTGCCTGTCCCCTATCACACCTCCCTGCCCCAGATGGAGCATGACACCGCAGACCGTCAATGCCTACTACCTGCCCACCAAGAATGGGATCGTCTTCCCTGCCGGCATCCTGCAGGCCCCCTTCTATGCCCGCAACCACCCCAAGTGAGCCTGGCATGGGGGGCACCTCCTGGGGGTGGGGGGGAATGGGCTGGATTGGGGCCAGCACGCCACAGAGCCACCCACAGTAACAAAGCAAAGCCCTGGGGGGCTTAAGCATCATGCAAGCCTTTACATCCTGCAGCCAAGACAGCCTGCAGAGTCCCCTTAGGGCCACCAGTGTCCCCAGTAAGACTCATTCCCAGCTGGGTCCCAACTGGAAAAGAGTCTGGTCGGGTGCCTAGGCTGTGGAGGGGGTGGCCAGGCAGAGGCAGACTGCAACACCAGCACACCCCTCCCCTGTACTTACCTGGCTCTTTCCCATGGCCCCACAGAGCCCTTAATTTTGGTGGCATCGGCGTGGTGATGGGGCATGAACTGACCCACGCGTTCGACGACCAAGGTGAGAGCCCATGGGCAGCCCCAGCCCCGACTCCTGTTACCTTCCTGCCTCCCCAGCCCACACCCGCCCTGCCCTCGGCATGGGCAAGGGGTGCCCTGGGTGCACAGGGGTCCCGCTTTGCCATCCATTGCATCGTGCGTGCTCGTGCCCCCCGGCCGCCCCCCCTTCTATCGTCCTGTCTCCCCAGGTGGCACCCGCCGACACCTCCCCCCGGCTTCTCTGTGCAGCTTTCGCTCCATCCGCTTGGTGAGGACACGGTGTCTGCAGCCCCGGCCCCCTCCTCACCCTCCTCCCCGCGGGGCACGGGGCGGGTCCCTCTCGCATCCGCTCTGCTTTGTGCCTTCACCACAGCCCCGGAGCAGACATGGGGTCAATGGGGGATTGTGGGATCACAGATCTGGGTTTGGATAGTGGGAAGGTACCGGGGGATGCCTGGGGACCCAAGTGCGCAGCTGCGCCCCAGCCAGAGCCTGCCCAGAGCAGGGACTGCGGGACACCATCCCTCCATGGCAGGGACCCAAGGCGCCAGGTCCCCCGGCATCCCCTGGCGCTCTCCCACCGCACCCCACTCTGCTTCGGGACCCCCTGGTCCCACCCCACCCCACTGCTCCGTCCCACAGGACGAGAGTACGACAAGGAGGGAAACCTGCGGCCGTGGTGGCAGAACTCCTCCCTGGAGGCCTTCAAGAACCGGACGGCGTGCATGACCGAGCAGTACGGCCGCTACACCGTCCACAGCGAGAAGGTCAACGGGCGGCAGACGCTGGGCGAGAACATCGCTGACAACGGCGGGCTCAAGGCAGCCTACAACGTGAGTGCTGCCGCCCGGAGGGGACACGGACCGCCCCCCCTCTGTCCCTCCCTGGGGCTTCAGGCCAGCTCTCCCGCAGGCATACAAGTCCTGGCTGCAGAAGAACGGGGAGGAGAAGCGTCTGCCAGCCCTGGGACTCACCAACCACCAGCTTTTTTTCGTGGGCTTTGCACAGGTAGGGCTGAGCGGGGTGATGGGTCTTCTGTCCCTCCTTGGCTGCTCAGAGCCACCCCACAGCCCCCCACAGCTGCTCTGGGGGTTCTGTCCCCATCCCTGAGGCTACTCCCGCTCCACCAGGTGTGGTGCTCCGTCCGGACACCCGAGAGCTCCCATGAAGGGCTGGTGACCGACCCCCACAGCCCCGACAAGTACCGTGTCATCGGCACCCTCAGCAACTCCCGGGACTTTGTCGAACATTTCGGCTGCCCCCTGGGCTCCCCCATGAACCCCGGCAAGCACTGTGAGGTGTGGTAGGGAGGGGGAGGGTGCTGTGGACAGAGGGGACAATGCCATGCTGTGCCCCCGCCCCCAGCCCTCGCTGGCTGCTAGAGCTGGCTACGGGCAGAGAGCGGAGGTCACGCTCTGTCGCGGTTCCCCTCCTGTGTACAAACCGCAGACCCCACCTCTGCCCCCTCCCCGGCACACACGGCCCCACACCAGGCACCCACCGCAGTCCCATCCACAGCCTGGGGCTGGACACGACCGGCAGAGAGGCTGTAGCACCCCCAAAACGCAACTCTGCCCCCAACCCTGATGCGCTTGAGTCGGGCACAGCTCAGCGTCTCCCTGCACTGCATCCCCCCCTCGCAGGTGGGCAGGTCAGAGGGGTCCCAGGGAAAGCACTAGAGCCAAGATACCCCCGCTCCTGCCCCGCAGCCTGCCAGAAATGGAGACTAGGGGCCACCCGGCTCCGCACTTCCCTTGTCCCCTCCCGATCCAGCTTGGCTTCCCCATCCACCTCTGTTGGGACCAGCGGGCGGCAGCGGGGACTCTGGTGCCTTCAGGTGTGGGTGGCTGTCGCCGAGTTTATGTAACGAATAAAAGCAGTTTCCACTTACTCCAGCAGCTCGGGGATCTTGGCGGTGTCGGGGCTGGGAGAGAGGTGGGATCTGGAGCTGGGGGGGGTGACTCAAAGTCTGGGGGGACACGTGAGAGCTGAGACATCCCGAGGGACCGAGGGAGGGGAGTGGAGATGAGATGTCTGGATGGACGAAGGGAGGGGAGCAGAGGTGTGGGGAAGAACGGCAGGGCCGGAGGGAGTGAGTCAGAAGCACAGGCTTTACCCCCTGGTAAAGCCCAGCCGGGGGGTCCCGCTGCCCCCAGCACGGGTGACTCCAACCTGCCCCGGGGCCGAGCCGCCCCCGAGTCCCCTCCCGGAGCCCCCAGGGCCCGCTCTGGCCGGTCCTTCCCCGCACAGCCTGTCCGCAGCCCCGC